TCTGTTCTAGGAGATAGGCAATCTCCATTAATTCAAATTTAGCTGCAGGACTGGAGGGATCCGCGAGAGGTCACCTGGTCCAGTCCCCTGCCCTCACGGCAGGGCTAAGTATTAGAAACAGGCTTTGGGGCTCATGCTGATCTTATTTATTATCCGCTGGAGTCAGCTGGCCATCTTAGCATCGATGCTAGCGGTGTACAACAGGCACGGAGGAAATCAAAATCTGTCCTTTCCCCGGCTGTCAGTGAAGTCAGGGGCAGATCCATGGCAGGGGGAAAAACTACATGAGCGAATTGCAGTCGTCTCCCGGGGACGGTGGGGTGCACAGTCTGCCCGGGGAGTGTGATGTCAGTAGTTGGTAACCCCAAATACCCACAATCCTCTCGGATAAGGCAAAACTCTAACCCGGGGGTCTCCAACCTTTTTGGGCACGAGATCACTTGTGGAACTGAAGTGCAATCCAAGATCTACGTCACACCCGAATCCCCTGGCCCCGCCTCCTTTGTGCCCCGTCTCTGAGGCCCCGCCCCCTGCTCACTCCGTCCTTCCTCCTTTTCATTCGGCAGGGGCAGTGGTTTGGGGGGCAGGCTCTGGCCTTGGGTTTAGGGATTTAGAGTGCGAGAGGGGCTCTGAGCTGAGCCTGGGGCAGGCAGCTGAGGTGCAGGAGGGGGTTCTAGGTGCAGGATCTGGGAGGGTGTTTGGATACAGGGGTGCTCGGGCTCCAGCTGGGCCCCACTTACCTCGGGTGGCTCCTGGGGGGGTGGGGCAGTGGGGCTAAGGCAGGCTTACCCCACCCTGCCCCCACACTGCTCCCCAAAAACAGCCAGCAAACTCCCTCCCAAGTCCTGGTGTGCCCCTCTCTGCTCTGTGGATAGGTACCGAGCGGAAGGGGGGCACCCTGACATCAGCGCCCTCCTCTCCCTCCCCTGCCCTGCACAGCAAGCTCCTGAGGGGGCAGCTCCAAAGCGAAGGGCAGAAGATGAGCAGAGCAGCAGTGGGGGGCGGGACAGCTGAAGAGCAGGCACTTGACAGCCTCTTGGCCAAACCAATCAGGGTCCCCTGTCAGAGGCTCCG